TTAAAACGAGGAGAAATTATCACAAAATTATAATTTCATACGAGTTGTGACAAAATTTAGGATAAAATTAAGGCGTCGATATTTTTCCCAATTTTGTTGATGAAACATCGTTATTGAGTGTAGGAAATTTATAGGAGTCGGGTTAAATGTCTAATCTATTAAGTATTTATTAAATTCGATAACGAGCAGTTTTATGAGACAGTGTTAGAGTATTTTACTCGTAGCTAATATTAATGATCATCGACAAGAGTTCTTAATTATTTGTTCTGAAATCATTCACTAGTTAAATAATTTTGGAATTACAACCGATGTGATATGATCTAAATGTACACAGAAGAAACGTAGAGGTTGAAGTAACCCCAAGTTCCATAAAATAAATATAAGTGGGTGTTAACAACACTCACTGTCAGGCTAAACTAACGCTTTGCAAGTGTAAATTAACCTTCATTGGGGTGAATTCAACCCTTTTTTAAGTGTGAATTACAGTGGTTATTCCCTAACATTTCGGTTCCCTAAAATTTCAGTCGGAGAAGTTGACTTCCCCCACCATCGACAACGTAAATGTGTTTTGGTAAATCTGTGTGTCCCTCTGCACGACGGACTGCGCAGTAAAATTACTCTCGGCATGTGAGAGTGAAACAGGTAGATTCTTTCTCTCTGTTTATCTCTTTCCCAACTCTGCCTCCAACGGAAGAGTAAGGGCTTTCCGAACATTTAATTTCTTGAATTCTGGTCCCAGAGGCTAAAATGTTAGGGAGTAACCACTGGAATCTTAATTGTAGTTGAGTTCTCCCCGAAATGATTTAAGTGTATAACTTAAATATTATAGTAGTTTTAGAACAATATAATTCCCAAAATTCCAAAAGAAAATAAGGTATTTCCGACAGAAGAATTTTTTTTCACAGTTAAATGAAATGGCCCGTCACGCCATGTTAACGAACACTCGCTAAACGTGCCCGGGTAGTGTAGAGTAAATTCGGCAACTTTAAAGTCTAAATAACAAAACGTCACATTCCCGTGGATGTGACCAAGTCGCTGGTTCTCGTGGAGTGACCATACTAGGATTAAACCAACTTATTTACTGAAATTTTTCTATTCATTTCAGGAATATTATTGTTGAGAAATAATATATTTATTTTAATGTACAGGTTTACAGTGTATGAAGAAAATCATGCAATCATTCCAAATGAATCCATTATTAACATCAAACAGAATATTTCCTTGATTCAAATCGAAAATTATTCAACCTAGTCGCACTCAAAAAATATACTCGAAAACCCCCTTTTTTGTATCCCGTTTCAATGATTTTTCGAACTACTAATTTTCATTGACAAAGGGGCGTAATTCAACACTGACGCCTGTTTGCCATTATCAGTCAGACACCTTGGAGAAGCAGGTCCATTTTGCCCTCCTGGTCCCTTTGGCCGTACTCTCTCTGCTTTTAATTAAATTTAGAAATGCTCGAGTCAATGAGGGAATATTCGTTATTCTCAGCGAACTAAATTACAATAAGGAGAACAAGCAGGGTAGAACTTCTATTCGGCAGAAGCCATGTGACTGTTTCTTCATGTGTTATTAGTCTTCTTTTTTCTACCAACTCCACTGGTAATAAGCTTTCGAATGGATCCGTAGCAACTCCACTTTCCAAAATGAGAATTGGCAATTCCTATTCAAATTCCCGACTTTATTTGATGAATATGATCTTTAACAAACTAATGAATATTTCATTTTTATTCTCCATTTTTTTTCATTTATTAATTTTTTAATATTCTCACTTTTTTGGAATGTTGTTCTCGCGTCAAGATTAAATGAACTATTTGGAGTCAAACCTTCTCTCTTTCTGTTATTTTCCGTCTGGGTTTTTGAAAGAGAGTTGGGTTGAAGGCAACAGATAATTGAAGTATCATTTCAGTTATTAATTAACTGAAATTTCACTACAATTGCCTTTAACAAGGGCGTAGTTGTTGAGGCAACAGCTTTTCAAGAGAGGGAATAGTGTTGCGTCTTTGGTCTTTTCCTCCACCTCAATTATAGTCGAGAAGGTATACCTTCATGTATACCATCGTTTCTTTCTTTATTGATATTCTTTTATCCTTAATCTTATTCCGCCGGCGCGTCACGTCTTTTTTTGTATTTCTTTTCATTATCTCTTTCGCCACAAAATCTTTAATAAATATTCATTTATTATGAAACCGACTAATATTTAACTATATGATATAAAATAGAAATGAGCATAATTTAATGTTGAATGACTTGTTCAATCATCCAGACGCGAAAATCATCGATAAAGTGACAATGTGTCATTTTTTAGAAAAAACGACTTTTAGATAAATGGTTCTATGCCATGATGTACTGAATCGATCGACCCAAAATTTTGTACAGAAGTGAGACCCACTCGATGATAATACTGATTAGTAGCCGAAATTTTATAGGGTTCATTCGAACTTTTACGAAAATTGATTTTTGAGAAATTACTGTATCTCAAGAACTATTTGACCGCTTGGGCTGTAACTGCGCACAGGGCTGCTCCCAAATGATAGCAATTATGTGATAAAATTTTAGATTCATAGCTGCAACTTTACTTGCCTTTTTGTTGAGATTTATTAACAATTTCCGAAAAATCTGCACACACATACGGACATATACATACACACATTTTCTAAAAACATCATGTCTTCACGTTTCACGACATTCTTCATCATTCCCGAGCAAAATTATAAAATCATAGAAATGACCGATTATAAGGCTTCCCTTCGGAAGCAAAAAACAAGAACCTACAGTTTGGAGTTCACTGGCCCTTTGGTCAGTGTTTATGCTCCAAGTGAACGAGGATATCAATCAAGAGCCTACAATTGATGGAGCGCATGTGTTGGAGATACACCCATTTGTTTCTAGCTATTTGGAGTTACGAGCTTTTGCCGTTATTCATTCTCTAAGTCGACTAGGACATCAACCAAGAGACGAAAAGTAAAGGGACGTATGTTCTGAAGATACACTGGAGTGTATATCCTTTGGATGGTGGGTCCTCGAGGATCCTTTTGTTCTCATTATTTGGAGATCAACAATGCTCCATAATTTGTCATTATAAAAATTAATTGGTGAAAAACGTTGAAAAAAGTCAGTAAATTCAATTTCACGATTTAACCCTAGATTGGTCACCCTATATGAGGGAATCCCCGCCGCGCGTCATTTTCCTTCAATTACAATTGACTGCCTAAAATTATAGTAGTTTTTACAACAACATATTTTCCGAAATTTTTGAAGAAAACAAATTATTCCGGACAGATGAATTATTTTTTCCCATGTAAAATGAAATTGTCCATGACGCGAGGTTGCCGGAAGCTTGCTCATCGCGCCCGGGCAATATAGTAGAATGAATTCAGTAACGCTAATGCCTAAATAACACGGCGGCGAATGCCCCTGGAGGTGACCAAAGTCGCAGGGTCGCGTTTGGTGACAAGACTAGGGTTAAATTTTGTTTTTCCTCAATATGTGAAAAACCAACTCCGCCGATTTCAATTTTTATTTTTTCGTTTTCAAAATGGTCGTCTTGATGGCCTCTAGCTAAATCAATCAAAATATCGATACCCGTTCATACAAAATTTGAAGATATTGCCGATTTTCCGTTTTTTCATGAAAAATCTTGTACGCACGATAAGTTGAGAAAAAATTAAGATAGCAAGTTGAAATCTGCTATGATTATAACTCTTAGGGGAGGGTGCACCTGTACCGCTCAGCAGGCAATACCGCCCACCCGATTTTCTCCACAACCATCAACTCGAAAATTTTTTTCTCTTCCTGATCACGAAGGATTTGATGATAGAATGTAATTGTTGGGAAAATTTCACTCTATTTGCCACATTAAATATAAAAAAACACATAACAAAGATTCGAGGTCTTTATGGTGCAAAATTGGTGCACTAGTAATTAAGGTTTTTGATAGTTTCAAACTCCTAATTGTTATATTAAACTATGGTTTTTCAATTCGGGTTACATTCACGCGTAATTTGAGACCAATTCGAACTCAAAACTCCCCTTGCGTCAATAGTTATCAACAATTTTGTTGACGCCGAGCGGAGCCGGTAATACCGCTCATAGGATCGACCACATTGTTACTCGCAGTTACTCGACAGCAGTCGACTACAGGTTAGGTTGCAGCGTAAGCGATACACACAATTTCCTATGGGCGGCATTGGAATCGTGCCGAGCGGTATTAGCCGACGGCGGGTAGTACCGCTTAATGGGCTCTCTCTTTTGTTTTCAATTAATTTTGTCGATTCTGAGGGGAATTAGACGTCTACACTTCGAGAATAATGAGTTCAATAGTCAAAGAAGTACATAAAAATATTTTTTCCACTCAAGTTGAAATAGAAAATGTAAAACTGGTATTTCCCCTTAGGTGGGCCGTACAGGCATATCCGCCCCTATAATATTGAAACTCGGTATTTTGGGTATTTTTGGATATACATATTTCACTAAAAGTTTGAATATTTTCCTGTAGACACCCTGACGCCGAAAACTCAAGTTATAACATATATACAGACATGACCCTAAAAACATCATTTATTTACGTTTCATAACATTCTAGACCATTTGCAATCAAAATTATAGAATCGAAAAATCGGTCAATTACAAGGCTTCCATTCGGAAGCAAAAATGAAATGTCGTTAATTTAAAGATCAACTTCCATCGTGTGAAAAAAGTGAAAAGACTAAATATCGTACTTAACAATGACTGCGAATATCTTGGGTCGATGTCACCTATGTGCATTACTCACCCGGGATCGATCCGCCGACTTGGGGGTAATACAAAGTTGAGTCGAGTAGATTCAATCAGATCATCTATATAATCATGCTGATTGTGTCACGTTCAAACCTTTTAATTGATCTCCGTTTAATTTCCCAGGAAATGCATTAGCCAAGGCCCTTGAGGCTACCAAATTATCCACTTGGAACCATTATTCATTATTCTGTTCCTTTTTGTATTTGTTTCAGCGGACAGTAGTTTCCTCCTTGCCAACGCTCAGATTGTTGACTTTCCAATTGTTTATTGCAATGAGAGCTTTTGTAAAATATCTGGATACAATCGGGCCGAGGTAAGCACTACACAAATAAATTGCTGAAACTTATTTCTGAAAAATTGAAATTGAAAAATGATTTCATTGAGTTTTCCATAAAGCATTTTTTAACGTATAGCACGATCAAAAATATATTTTTGTCACTCCGTTCGTTAAGGGTATTATGGGGGGGCCCATAGCTGGAAAAAAAAGCAGAGAATTCAATGAAAATTGCTGAACAGATTATTCGATCCATTTGAAAGCCGTGTGCAAAATGTCAAGACCCCTACTTAAACAATAATAATGGGAATAATTTTTGAAGTTGCTACTTATATACACGGTTGAATGGGGCATCGGTAATTTTAGTGCTTTTCCTACGTTATTGATCTATCGATAACGTAGGAAATTCACAAAAATTACCGATGCCCCATTCAACTGCGTGTATAAGTAGCAACTTCAAAAATTATTCCCATTATTATTGTTTAAGTAGGGGTCTTGACATTTTGCATACGGCTTTCAAATGGATCGAATAATCTGTTGAGCAATTTTCATTGAATTCTCTGCTTTTTTTTCCAGCTATGGACCCCGCCATAATACTCTTAAGTCTCGCTCCACGTACACTCCGCGTGTGAAAAAGCCGCTCCCGAGCGTCGACAACCGACAAGAAAAATGTCTCGTCAATGGGTCGAAAAATACTATATTGGAAAAAAAATCATGCATTGATTTCTATTTGACACATTTGACAAAAAAATAAGAATGGAAGACACCATGGCTTGAGTTCATTGATTCATAAATTCTATACGTAAAAAAATCACATATAATCTTTTACGGATAACAAATTTTTTCATTTTTAATAGATTATGCTTTTTTATTAAGTGTAAACCTTTTTTTGTGTTTGTAAATCTTTCTCAGGCTCAATCGAAATTGATGATTCCCTTTTTTGATTGGTAATGGATGTCCAATAAATTGTTAATTTGTCGATTCTTTTTCATAGGTGATGCAAAAATCATGTCGTTGTGGCTTCATGTACGGCGAGCTGACTGATAAGGAGACGATAGCAAGGATAGAAGAGTGCCTTGAGGGACAGATACACGATCAATTCGAGATACTACTCTACAAGAAGAACAGTGAGTGTTATCCCCTGCTATCTATTCCCTACAGAATAGGAAATTACCGGAATATATTTACACGTGCCGGAAAGACATTTCACGTGTGCTAGGATAAATAGGAAGGGGGGCAATGGATGCCACCTGTCACTGTCATTCGAAGAAGAACGATGGAGATTTTATTCACTCCAATTTTCTCAAAATACAAGTGTTTTCAATATTTGATAGAGAAAAGGAGATTGTTTTATTCCATTTCCCAAACTTTACTCAAGCTTTTCATTTCCTCCTTTTCTAATTACAAATGTCGCTCATCGATTCGATATCATGATGGTCTGTAATGTAAATGGACATAGATAAAATGACGTTATCTCCGGTGGTTACAAATTTGATGGACATGAGCAATAAACAAAAGGGATTCTGAACTAAGAGGCTAAAGTGAACATTATCAATTAAAGGCATCAGTTGTGGATTACATTAACGACGTCCATCTGATACCCTCTTATTGGCTCAAAATCTTTTATTAGACGAAAGGTAATTTTATTATTGGTGTTAGGTTTTTTCATTTTATGTTTCATTTTCATTAGATGGGCAGCTGTGTAGGCAAAACCCCAGTCTAGTGTGCAAACGGTTCCGAGATGAAGTTCCGTCTGGAAATGAGAATATTCATACCTAGATTCTACGGACGAGCGGAATGTTATTAATCGAGTACCTACACTAAGAGAAAAATCGACATAATATCACAAAAATCATTTTTTGAGCGAAAAACATCGCATACATATTTAATCAATTTACGGTCGGTTACAGAGAAGAAATCGGTGCTTTTCGGGCTCAGGAGGAAGTTACTAAATAAAAAGGTGATGTCTTTTTTCGAAATGAGATAATATTTCTTAAACGACAAAAATAGTTTGACAGAAGGAAAAGAAGATATTGCTTCCCTTCGAACTCGAAGCGATTGAGCGTAAGGGACGGGTATATTTTTTTAATATCTGGAGGTTTTCCTCTGCATAAATTCTCTATTCATTCAATATGAAAGTCTCTGATTCATGATTCACTGAATCGAAGCTTTTAATATTTTTAGCCATTTTCTCATCTTCTGAGACGAAAAAACCGATTTCTTGCGGCAAGAAATTCCCAATTTATGATGAAATGTTCATGTTCAAGTCATAAACACTTCACCGAAATCTGGCATTGTCTGACACATTTTCCGGGATTCTTATCCCAAGAAATTTATCCTCAAGAGATGAGATATTTGGCGCAAGAAATTAGTTTTGTGAAATTATGACGATATTTCTCTTAGTGTACTGTACCGGCACAGGTTGTCCTTTTGAAACTGCGGTACAGCTTGAGCTTTCTCATGAATTGAAGATCAATTATTTAAGTCCAAAAACGAATAATTAGTGCAAAAAATATTAATTGATTATTCTTCGTTTGTCCCGCACATGCTTAAAATGGTAAAAATAGTCCCCCAATTTTTGAGCTACAGAGATTTTTTTTCCAAATTTTTGAAAAAAGGTGTACAATAACAATTACCAATTAGTTTTTTAAAATTCAACTCCTACACAGCTAATTTCGTTTTGTTTAATATAACAATTTGCGCCATTCATTTAAAATAGGCGGAAAAATTATCCTTAATATTTTTTGGGCTATTTCACATGAATGGTGCAATTTTTTATTTAAGAAAACAAAATTAGCTGTGTAAGAGTTGGATTTCAAAAAACTAATTCGCAATTGTTATTGCACACATTTGTTAAAAAATTTTGAAAAAAAAACTGAAGCTCAAAAATTGAAGGCCCTGGGCTATTTTTAACATTTAAGCGTCTGCAAGGCAAACAAATAATAAACGATTAATTTTTTTGCGCTAATGATACATATATATATATATATGTATATATATACATCGTAATGAGTATTATCCTTTTCAATAAAGTAGAAACTATTTGATTCATTCTAACAGATGTTTGATGTACCATGTCGATGATAAGTGATAGAAGGAGAAATTATGAAAATAATTTTTCTGTAGGTAATTTCCTTGGGTACAAAAAAAGTCTGTTGAAGTTTTTTTCTAAAATCACTCATCTCCAAAATAATTTCACGCTTATTTCACTTTCTAATGCCCTCAGACAAAAAAACTGAGAGAATTGCTTCTACTTAGGGAATTGTATTCGTCGTCGGGAAATAGATCCCCTTGTTTACAGGGTGTTACGGAATCTATAGGCGTGTCATAATTTTTCGCTGTAAATAGTCAACCTTAATATTAATAAAAAGATCTGTTAACATCTTGATAATTATCTAATCAAATTTTAGTCCAGTATTTGATACTTTAATCATTATTGGAAGTTTTGAGCTTTATTATAGTGATGCCGCGGGACGCGAGAGAAACGAGACGAGAAAAGAAATTGCTCTCGTATTTCGATACAGGACGAGACGAGAGAATGGTTTCCTGATAATGAGACGAGACGAGAAGACACAGTTTCTCGTCTCGTCTCGTCTCGTGGCATCACTGCTTCATTATTACGGTGATTTGCACTTTTGCGTGATCTTGTCTACTAAATTTGTAACGAAGGCTCCAACATCATCTTGTATGAAATTGTCTGAATATATGGTCATCTCAGTCACTAATAGTTGTCTCCATTCTATTATGTTTTGTTTTATTATAAATCAACAAAACATTTGTTTATCTTCTCTGCTCATTTGCACAGGTTTCTTTTTTCATCGCCTAAAAAAAGAATTCAATCGCATTTTTTAACGGAATAGTGAAAGATAATGAAGAAAAGAGTCGGGGAGCATTAGGAAAATGTGGAATAGAGCCATTAATAAAAATTTTTCATTTTGTAAATAACTTTGAAGATTAATTCCCGATTTAAGTAACTAAGGATGTAATTCTTTATGTTTTTAAAGGTACCCCACGAGGTATGTCTATACGCAGGTACTCTCACAATGACTATCTCGCTATATACCTATTTATCTTTCTCGCTCGCTCGCCAATTGAAAATTGAAAAAATATATATATATCAAACCAAATGTGTCTCAGTGATTTGCAAATAAGTAAGTGATCGCAAATTTTGATGCCTAATAATTAACACTCTGTATGGAAAACCTGTAATTATATAAATCCCTGTAGATTGATAATTTTCATTTTATTTATTAAAATAATTATGAATATATTCTTCTAGAGATGTGATGAAACAAGTCTTTAACATACATTTTAGTTAATTCTTCACCTATCTCATACGATCGCATTCATAGTAGATTTTATTAGCAATGGAAAAACTAATTTGATAAATCCAGTAAAACGGTCTCTTAATATTTTTTCATAACACTGTTATAGATTTCTATTGTTACTTGTTCCATCACTTTATCGCTGAGTTAGGAAATTACACGGTTGTTAAACATCGAACAAAATCATTATTACACCTGAAGATATAAACTAAACAGCTCAATTGAAAAGCCGACTATTATAATGGAAATTTTGGAATAATAATTCAGTGGGATATGGGTAAAATAGGGGTAGGTTAATTGCCTTGAGAATTGGCTGGAATTCCCAAATGTTCCATACTTTTGTCACGCGATGAGAGGGCTTTTGAAACAGAATTTCGTGTCACAAGTTTATTTCGTCTGTCACTCTGACTGTCACTAAATTAAATGTCGCCAATTGAATTTTTCCCATTTCTCTCGAGTGCTTTTCACGTCAAAATGCAATCAACTTTTGCTCTCCTCTTCTCTTCCTCTTCGAATATTTTCCATGAATGAAAATATCCATCGAACAATAATCAAAAAGAAAAGAAGACGGGTGGGAGGCGTGAAAAATTAAAATGAAAAATTGAAAAGTTCGAGAGCTCATTCCTTTGATGCTTGTTTTATGTACCTCTGAATATGTGACTTGCTACTGTACACATCGATTGAGTACGTTGTGGTAAAATGTTGCACGCATTATTGAATCATTAAAAAAAAGCAGAATGATTTCGGTCTCCATAACTCATGCAAATTGGTCATTGTCCAATTGTCGTAATAAAAAAGTCACATTAGGCGAAATCATCGAGGGGCATTTTCAAAAACCATTTCTGCTCCTACGAAACAAGACCGTAGAGATTTTTTGCAGAAATATGTCAATTTTTTTAGATAAGCTCAAATTTGGAGAAAGGTTTATATTTATTTTATTTCAGTCCAAAATTTCTGTAATGAAATTAATAAACAAGTTATTGAAAAACCAGACGAACTCTTACCACAGCTTACACTACTTATTTTCCGTAAGAACTTCAGTTTTTATTGCTGATGCTGCATTGCTGATGAATATATAAATAACTAAATGTAAATATTTCATTTGGCTATGGCATTAGGATGAACAAATAGGGTACCCTTCGTAACAACCCAGATTATGGTGTGCTCGTGTAAATTGCACCCTAGGACTATTATTAACGCACCCAATCGATTGCTATCCATCTCTGCAATTAAAACAAAATAACAGAATAATCCTACTATTGTTCTTTAAAAAATTTCAATTACGATGATCTTGACTATTTTTTTTCTTAATTTCACCTTTTTTTCCCTCTTTTCCTTCACTTTGAATAGCAGCACGCATGCTTCATCCAACGTGCAACAAGAATATCGCCTGAGCGTTCTCATATAATCGATACAACGTAATCATATAACTATTATGATATAAATTGCCATGAAATTCAATGTTTCGGGTCGTATTATTTACATTACGAACGCTTGGGGAGTTATTCAGCTGTATATGGGATTATTAATTCTATTTTAATTGTTCCATTTAATTACCTTCATAATAATAGAGTAGCGAGTGGTGAAGCATTGTTGGAGATATGAATTTAAAAATTTAATCAAGATCAATTTGCAAATATCTCTCAAATTGTTGGATTTAAAAAACCCATGTCAAGAAATTTTCATCCCGTAGAAAAATAATTCTTTCGACACTTATCGAGAATTTATAATCACCAAAATAAATCTGCAGTTAACATCAGGAGATATATGCTTATAGACAGCTTTACAATTGATGAATATCATTTTATGAAAATATTTTCCACTTCATTCTTGACTACTTTTCCATTTTGAAATAATGATCTGTAGATAAGTTTAGTGATGGAATGATCATGAAGGTAAATCAAGTTTTCCAACTTGTTGATAAAATAATGAGTACAAATAATGAGACAGACTCTTCCATGTATAAATAATTATGAAGAGAAATCTTCCAATTAGTGATTAGTTGAGAGAAACTGTAGATTAACGATTTTTCGCTGTCACTTGGGATTGAAAGGGATTAGGTTCTATTATTCCATCTGCGATTTCGAATTTCCGTTGTCCACAGAGACCCCACTATGGCTCCTCCTGCAGATAGCGCCGATCAAGAACGAGAGAGATCTCGTTGTCCTCTTTCTGCTGACGTTCAGGGATATTACTGCCTTGAAGCAGCCGATAGAGACCGACGACAGCAAGGGTGGACTCTCCAAGTTTGCCAAACTTGCCAGGTCTGTTACCAGGTCCAGATCAGTTCTTGTTTCCCAGTTCAGCTCACACCTGCCAGCCTTGAAAGACACAACGCTACCTACTGCGGCCAAACAGTCTCATCTTGCACATGTGAGTGTTAGCCAAATATTCTCACAATTTTTTTAGAAAATCATTTGATGATTTTCTTGATTTGTATCCTTGAACGTCATTTTCCATACTGTTCAATCAATTCCACAAACAACTGAATGGAATAGAATAGACTCAATTGATGGTCAATGACGAGGGGCTACTCAATTCATAATTGAGTGACACCATGGTTTCGAAGTGAAGTCGATTTCGGGTAATTTCAGTGATTTCGGAAAAAATGATTTCGGTGATTTCAAGTATTACGGAAGGTGAGTTCATGATTTCGAATGATTTGATTAATTCGAAATCAGTCATTTCACAAAAATAAAGTTAACAAGAAAATAGAGGTGGGCCAAAACGGCTTGTGTCAAATTATGAAAATCAAAACTGGAAAATAATAACGAATTGGTTTGATTCTACTCCGCCAATCTTGACCTAATGACGATGAAAACGATCCATTTTATCATTTTACTGTGGCAGTGAGTACGGTATTTTATTATCATCGATGGTAGGTGTGTCAATTTCAAGATCACGAATTACTTGCACGGTTCGTACTATGCCAGTGCGCCACTGATTTCGGTGATTTAATTGATTTCAGACAATTTCACCTGATTTCGAAATTGATTTCGGAGAGCTGAAATCACTTAATTTCAGTGATTGCGGAATGATTTTATGTCAGAGTAGCGCCGTGATTTCGGAAGTGAGTAGCCCCTCGGTGAAAGATCAAAATGAGAAATTGTTGGAAAAATCATCTGAAAGAAAGTTCCTTCCTATTATCTTATTATCAATCAATTCCATCTGTCTGCCTAGAAAAGAAAACCATGTAAACCCACCAACAGATGAGTGTAATACGATTTGTAAAGAAATCGTCTTGATTTGTTTGTCATTGAAATCAGTACCAATCTGCCCAGATGATGTCCCTGAGCGGTGATGTGATGCCTCAGTATCGTCAGGAAGCACCAAAGACACCACCTCACATACTCCTCCACTACTGTGCATTCAAAGCAATTTGGGACTGGATTATTCTCTGTTTAACATTCTATACCGCCATAATGGTACCATACAATGTGGCCTTCAAGAACAAAACCAGCGAAGACGTGTCACTGCTAGTTGTTGATAGTATCGTCGATGTTATATTTTTCATTGACATCGTCCTAAACTTTCATACGACCTTCGTGGGTGCTGGTGGTGAAGTTGTATCCGATCCAAAAGTAAGTTGCACTTTTACCCATCTTTATTTAGTTATGCTTTTTCACTGACTGGGCCATATACCACCATATATACATAGGGATAAACACAAATGTACACACACATATGTATATATATATATATATATATATATATATATATATATATATATATATATATATATAT